AAGCCTGGGGAGTGTGGTGCTGGTGATGTGTACTCGGCAAAAGCGAGGTATGGGTATGGGAGAAAAGTGTAGTGAGACGACAGTGTCGGGGATGGGAGAAAAGTGTAGTGAGACAGTGTCGGGGATGGATGGGAGAAAAGTATAGTGAGACAGTGTCGGGGATGGGGGTCAAGGCAAAAATCAAAACCTCTTTTCTAGAGAGCTCTTTTCTCTAGAGAGCTAGTATAAAGGAATGGGACATCACTGGGAGCCAAAGACACAGACAAAGAGGACTGTCCTTTGGACGGCAATATTCAAACAATTTACTGTGAAAAGTGAAAACAGTGATGGGTGTCCCATAAAGAAGAGAAATTAGAGGACTTTGATTTTGTTTTTCTTTCTTTCCTCCAAAATGCACGGGTCTAGTTCTCTCCCAGGATGAAAGAAGCATTCCTTCAGGTGTCCAGACGTGTTTCTTCTCCATACCCCTGAGTGGTCACAGGACATCTCTTTGGCTGTATCACCCCAACCTCATTTTCCTTCATCCAGTTAGACATGGACAACAGATTGTTATTTGGCCTCAGCTCTCTTCTAGCAAATCTGAGCTCTGCACTGAGCAGCCTGCTCTGTAAACCACCAAAGCATCCCAAGTGACAAACCGAAGGGCAAGGTTCTTCCCAAGGGACAAACCGAAGGGCAAGGTTCTTCCTAAGTGACAAACCCCAGGGCAAGGTTCTTCCCAAGTGACAAACCAAAGGACAGGGTCTTCCCAAGTGACAAACCAAAGGACAGGGTCTTCCCAAGTGACAAACCAAAGGACAAGTGTCTTCCCAAGTGACAAACTGAAGGGCAAGGTTCTTCCCAAGTGACAAACCAAAGGACAAGTGTCTTCCCAAGTGACAAACCAAAGGACAAGTGTCTTCCCAAGTGACAAAGCCAAAGGACAGGATCTTCCCAAATGACAAACCAAAGGACAGGGTCTTCCTAAGTGACAAACCAAAGGACAGGGTCTTCCCAAGTGACAAACCAAAGGACAGGGTCTTCCATTCATGTTATTGGTTTTGTTTGCCTTGCTCCGGCATTTGGTCACAAATTATACGTGTGTGTGTGTGTGTGTGTGTGTGTGTGTGTGTGTGTGTGCTTACATATATGTACACATGCATAGATGAATATGAGAAAGGGGGAGGGAGGAAGAAGAAGAGAGGCAATATCACGAGCCATGAAGACACAGAAACAATGCAGATCTCAGAGCTCTTGCTTCTCTTCATGTTGAGTGGCAGAAGCAAGCTCTCTTCTAGATGCTTTTGTCAACAATTGTGCCACCTTTATAAAGTGAAGACTTGGGGAGTCTGTCATAATGCACAGGACCTGAGGAACCCCTGAAGCATTTTCATCTTAGCTCACAGACACATCATTCTTGGCATCATGACACCAGGCTCAGGAGATCATCCTCCACCTGGATCTGCCCACAGCCACCCAAAGAGGGACTCCCACAAGGTTCTTGTCTTTGCACGGCTTGGCTCGTCCACTCCTTTTCTGGAATTGCTCCAATCTGGGTCACCCTCCAGGAGGAACACCAAAGGGCTGCTCAGGATATCACCATGTACTGATGTGGATCCAGGGGCCAGAAGTGGCGTGCTGAGCCCTCCCTGAGACAGGCCCGCTGGCCTCAGCAGCAACAGCGCAGCCCACCATGCTGGAGCCAGCAGTGTGGAATGTGCGCACACATTCTCAGATGTCTCTGCCGTGTCCTCCAGTCTCCTCGCGAACTTTCCACCCATGTTCTCTCTCTCCTGACCCTTGGTGGGTGCTGCTTCCTGCTTACACACCACTTGCCCCACCAAGCAGTTGTCCTTCATGCTCCAGATTTTGCTGTAATCTGTGGGCTGGGGGCTGACTGCCACTGTCTACAGACTCTCAAGTCCCGCACTTCCCTGAGGTAAATTCTGGGTATTCATGCCTCACCT